GCCACAGGCCGAATGATCAGACCAGGCGCCAAGCCAACTGATCAAATCTACAAAACTAATACGACCTGTCCCAACATCATAGCAGGCGTCCGACGGCATCCCTCCGGATGAAATTCGTCGCAGAGAGCAGCTCCCTTTTGGGTGGAGCATTGTTCTATAAACTAATTACACGGCACCTATACGACTGTCCCCAAGGGCAACCATTTAGCCGTTTTTGAGACAAGGATAACTCTATCACTAACCAAACCAGTGGTAGCAGTTGACATCTGAGTCAGATGACCGCCTGTATTACTTGAGATAAATGCAGGGGGTACCTATTGAGTTAATAGCCAACAAACATTGGCGAATCAAGGGGTCCAGCCGGCCTACGCCGCCTGGTACCTCTACTTCTCAAGCAAAAGTGACGGCGACTGAGTAACTCCAACGTTAACTCATAGTCACTCCCTCAAATTTGGTATGGAACCTAAAAGGTTTGAGTAGACCACCTTTTTTTTGGCTAACAGGGGCACTCAAACCCCTATTCCTACTAGGTAACCTATTGAGTTAATAGCCCACAAACATTGGCAAATCAAGGGGATCAGCCGGCATCCGCCGCCTGCTACCTCTATTACTCAATCTAGATTGTGACGAAGACTAAGTAACTCCTATGTTAACTTAATATTCACTTAACTTAGTATGGAGCCTAAAAGGTATGAGTCGTCCGCCTGTTTTTAACAAACAGGGGCTCTCAACCACTACTCTTGCTAGGTTAACAAATTATGAGTTAAAAGCCAACAAACATTGGCATTAAAGGGAAACAACCGGTACCCGCCGCTTGTTATATCTACTACTCAGTTCCTTGGCGACTAGGTAATACTCTATTTACTTGGTCAGACCACTTTCCTACTTGGTTAAATTTACAAATGACAGGACCGCCTGCCTAAAAAGGATCCAGACAAAATAGTTCGAATACTGATTGGATAAATGGCCGACTGATCGTCTATCCTGGAAACAGACAACCAGTCGTCCAGGGGCATAGGCGGCGTACTAACTATCCTTACCTGTCTGCAACGTTCGGCCATGTAAAACAGTCGGTCTAGTGAACAATTGGATATTAGATATGGAATACTTAGACAAATTTGAAGCAAAACAAAAATTCATTATAAGCCGGTCATTAAAGACCAGCAAAATATTCAAAGCCCCGGCCCCCTGGCCGGGTAAATACAAAGCAAACGGCACGCGGGCCGTGGAAAGAATACATAAAGCTTAAGAAGGGGGCAGTTCAGTATTAGCAGCTGCCGCCTGGTCAGCACTCTTCTTGCTGGACTCGGCTTCAGCTGCATCCTTTTTTGATGCCTTACCCCCAAGCGGCACAAGCGCCACTACCGGCTCCTCCTCCTCCAACGCTTCCCCCAACGCCTCTTCTTCAGCAGCCGCCAGGATCTCTTGATTATATGTATCCGAACACTGGCGGTACGTTCTTTCCCAAGAGGCAAAGTCGGCACTGGGGAAGAGGCGGCCCCAGGTCATGCGCTGGATTTGAGCGGAGTCTTCCATCATCTCCCGGACCAGCTCTTTCTTCTCTTGCTCGGCCTTTTCCGAGAGCTCTTGGGTAAGACTCTTCTCCTAGGTCACCAGGCGTTCCTTTACGCTGGCCAAGGATTTCTCCATGGCTTCGTAAGAGTACATTTTCAGGCGAAGAGGTTTCAGCTCGGCCTTGAGATTTGTGATGGTCGCCTCCAGCTCGTCATTCTTCTTCTGGGCCGCCTCTAACTGAGCTCGAACAGCGGCGGTAGCGTGCGCCTGATAATAAAGAATATCAATGGTCAGTACTTCATTTTGGGCAATTTGAAACATTGCCTTATCACAGTCAGAGGCGGCCATAGCTTTTGCAGCCTTTACCTCTTTGTTCTTCCGATCAAGCGGCTTGCGAAGGCCGTTAACTCGGAGCAGGGCCTAAGTACAAAAAAACAGGCGTCAGTTTCCAAACAAAAAAGAAAACAGGCGTCCAGAAATTCAAATACTCAAAAAATATGCTAAGTATACCTCAGCAAGGACCCCTGCAATCCCGTCAAGGTCAAGGGTGCCGACACCCCTGACCGCCTCCCTTTCAGCTGGAGGAACTGCCCTGATCATAGACTTGGCCATCTCTACCAAGTCAGGCTCCTGGGGCCGGCTGCATCAAGCATAAAGAAACGGATTAGACTTAGTAACAAAGGGAGCAAGTCTAAAATTTACAAGGACAACTTCATACCTATAGGCGGCCCAGTTGGAGTTTTAGAAGAAGTGGACGGCTGTTTCTCAGCCGCCACCTGTTTCCTGGCAGAACCAGGAGAGCTCCCAACAGTCGTCTTCCGGGCCTTGGGGTCCGGCTGTTGGGAAGATGAAGCTCTTGGAGCACCCGTCTAAAAAAGAAGAAAAAAGTCAGTATATGCATAAACACTCCAAAAAGAGGGTGAAAGGTTCGGAGCTCACCAAGGGTGCCCCCTTCTTGGGGGAGTCGGTTGAAGCTTGTTGCATAATAGAGGCCCGCAACATGGCCGCCGCAGTCTTGGAGGCAGTGATTTTGCTCATGGCGTCAGCTGCAAAAAACAAACAGCAAAGTTAATAAAAGATAAACAACAAATGTATGGAACAACAGAGTATTCGACAGGCCGACTACCTCTTGAGCACCGACTGCTGAGGCCGCAGGCGGCCAAAAAGTACTCGTCATAGAGCCACTTGAAGCTCGGGACGCAGTGCAGGGGTACTTGCTCTCGTACCCCTGAAGTAGAGTCGACCCTCGACTCTACTTTAAAGAGTCCTTTATCAAGGATCTCTTTCTTAGCCTTGGGGGGAACAGGCGGCATGCTACGGCCGCCTGCAAGAAGGGGCGAATTCCTGTTCCACCTATTGAAGCGCTTGTTCTGCTCAATGTCTGAACTCTCAATGATGAGGAAGGTGCTCCGCCAGTCCTTCCACTTGTTTGCTTTACCTCTTGTCATGAGGTAGCCCCTGTGGCTTGTCAATTGATACCCGCCGGTACCGCCTGTCTTAGGGGTCCGGCTGAGATAGTTCATATGGGCGAAAGCCTCGAAGCTCGGCTCCACCCCGTGCAGTTCGCACCCGGCCACATAGCCGAGTACGTTGACCCAGGAGTTTGGGGCTAACTGCCATAACCCCAACTCATACCCATCCAAAATCCGCTGAACAGCCGGATGTAATGGGAAGCGAAGCCCTGCCTTGATGGCCGCCTCGTAGCAGCCAAAGCAGGCGCTTTCATCTGGAACCAGCCGGCCAGACGACTGTGTCTTCTGGATCCGGCACAAACACTAGAAAGTCGGGGCCCATGGTGTGGTTTGCAATAAAGCTCTCCACTTTCTCTTGCATGGCTTTGATTCGGCCCCGAGGTACCGTGCAGTAGTAGGGGGTATTTAGCTCTCGGTAAGAGGCGGATGGTTCCGCCCAATTGTCCCCCTTCTCAACTGCGTGAGAAAGTCTCGCCTCTTGCAGGCGACTGTTTTTCTCTTCTGTACCCAAAGAAGCATGGCCAGAAGAGCTTGACTCGGAATCGTCCTCCGACGAGTCTGAAGAGGACGACTCCTCCCCTCTCCCGGAGGGGCCCGCCTCCTCTCTTTGAAAAGGAGCAGATTTGTTAACTGTTAAATGGGAAGGGGTCACTATGACTCCCCCCACAGAATTGCCGGCATCCAGGCCTCCTTGTTTCACTTCCACATCTGGCGCCTAGTCAGATGTTTCACTAAGCGGCACCCTGTGGGAGGAGCCGTCTGAATTTGAGATCCTAGCTGTCTTTTTCGTTCTGGCCATCCTGCTCTGCATAGACACAGATACAGTCGGACTTTGTATAAAGGGCAAAGATGGGTCCGGAAAAGGGCAGGCGGCACTCCTAGTCCTAGATTCAGCCGTCCCCGGTGACCGGCTGATCACTAACCTAGGTCGTGTCGTGTGCTTCCGTGGTGCCATTTCAGAAAATAAAAAGAAAATTAAGAGTAAGAGAACTGAGTTACCTGAACGAGTGACGGTTGATGAAGTTCTGGAAATCCGGTGCAGTCGGCTTGTCAGAACAGGCGGTAGGCAGAAAAGGTCCAAAATGTCAGAGCAAGTTCAGGGGTCCGAATGTTCTCAAAAAGTTCTCAAAGTGTGAAAATGACTCAAGACAACTCTCCCTTATATAGGCGAAGTGAGAAGGCGAAGGGTCACTTTCAGAATTCAAAATTTGGGCGGGAAAATCTCTCGTCCTTTCGCCGACTGACACCTGTAGCAGGTCGTCGCCTGTTACAGTGCGACACCTGTCACAGGTAACACGTGACCAATCACGTGCCACCTGTGAGGGGCAAATGATTAGGGGATTTTGCTCCCACCAATCGGAATGCGCCACGTGGACCAATCAGGTCCTGCCAAGTGTCCCCCAGTTGGAACAGTCAGGGCTTCCCACGTGGCACGCGCTTATTCGTCCACCTTGGACCTGTTATGTCAAGACATGTGGCATACTCCATGCCTAATGGAGAAACCGGCCACCCAGGCCCAACTTCCGAGGGAAGCCCAATCGGCCCTAGGTTTACCTAAACCTAGGATGGGCACGTTTCCCAAGGTTATAAATACCTCCCTTAATCCTCATCAAGGGGAATTACAAAAAGAGAACAGAAACATTACGGAAAAAACACATTAATTACACACAGTAATAACCGGCTGATCTCGCTAACAAAGCAGATTACCTACATTAAACACTCTCACCTAGAGAGACCAAATCACTTTAATTTCCGCATTAATTACTCCTTAATCAGGTACTAACTTGACCGTTGGAGGCGGAGCTCACAGGAGTCTCCGTTATTTTGCAGGTACAGGCGTCCGGTTCCAGTCTCGGAATTGTAACTCTCCCGCAGGACATCAGAAAACCCCGAAACAAGATGAGTTTGGGATTTTAGTTTTTTTTGTTTTTCAACTGATTTATTTTGCCTTGTAATTTGATCTTTTGTTAACTAATTTGACAAATTTTAATTTAATTATTTTCTCCTGATAAGCTTGTCGAGAATCCAAATAATTGCGGGCGAAAGAGATGCAGAAATCCAAAGCAATGCCAGTTATAATTGGAGACTTGGTGTTTTATATACAAACTACTGTTGCGTGCTATTCTTGCTACTGCCCAAACCACCACTCCTGGCAAAGTGGCAAGGTTTGCTTTTTTTTTTTTTTTTTTTTTCTTTTTTAGTTTTATTTTTTTACTAATATTAAGCTCTAATTATATAATTGGATTTTTATTTTTCATTATCTTGATTATTTGTTACTTTTGTAAGAAATTTGTGATAATTACATTAGTTGTCACATTTTCCAGGCTTTAATTTTGTGGGGTTAAGATGATTAATTGGCAAATTTTCTGCAATTTACCCATTTTTTCTAGATTTTGCTTGATTTTTGAGATTTCATGTGTTTGATTAGTTTAACTTTCACTTCAGTCTGAAAACTTAGTTATACTCTGTTTATCTCTCTTTCTCAAGGCTACATAATCAGTTACCTTTAGTCAAGCTCTCAATTGTTAGGTTACATGACTAATTTAAGCAATTGGCAAGTGAATGATAATGCCAATAGGGAACCTACAAGTGGTATGACAAAGAGGTGAATTAGGAGTTATATTGAAGGAGAATTAGTCCTATCATGTAATCAATATATTGATTTATATTATGAATTAGTGGCTATGTATTTTAACTAGAAACTACGACATTGTTTGAGCCATAGAGGCCATGGTTTTTAAGTTTCTATACTTTTATATTTATTTTCTTGAGTAGTTGTACAAGGACTAGTAATTGTACAAGGACTAGTAGTTCAACATGATAGTCTTACTTTACCGTAAAGTGGTACTTGAGTTATGCAATGACTAAAGTTTGAATGAGTAATTAGAATATGCATTGACTTAGTGCTAGCAAGGCACGTGATTTATGATTTATCTAAATTCCACTATGTTAGTGTATTTTTCCTGTTCATCTTTCTTCACAAAGAGGTGGAAATTCGAGATAAAGCATGAGATAAGTGTATATTAATCTCTATGAGTTTGTTATGAGAAAAGTAAAGGCAAGTTATGTACTACTCGTAGAAGTCTAAAATTTAATTTTTCTTGCTAGCTGAATGCATGTAATGGTAATTCTAAAGCAAACAGTCAGTGACCAACTAATGATTTCCGGCTGTGTTTATGTAAAAGGAGAATAGGTGGTCTAAAGGGAACCACCTTCTTCATTTGTTAGATCTTAAATCACCCCTGCTAATCAACCTCACTAGCAAATTTCAGTCTCTATGAGCCAGTTTGATACGACGATTTCGTAAGTATTCTCCTATTTTCTTTCCCCTCTTTATTCTTTGCTTTTTTCTTCAATCTCCACATTTTATTTGTGATTCTTTATCAATAAACTGTTACTCTTTGATTTTAATTGAATTTGATGTTGTTTTTATCTACTCACTCCGTTAATTTTTATTTGCAACTTTGGGGGGTTTTGTGGTTCACGAGGCAAAATTTAAGGGGCAAACATTAGTGGGAGTAAATGAAAGTGATTAAAGTGTTTGGAGAGAGAAAGTTGACCCACCCACTAGCAAATGAAAGTGATTAAAGTGTTTGGAGAGAGAAAGTTGGCCCACCCACTAGTAAAATTATTAAAATCAGAATTTTTAATTAAGGGTAAATTTGTAATTTTCAGGGTTTTTGTGTATTAAAAGTAGAAATAAAATAGAAAGTTGCACATAATGGTTAGCGGACTAAAATGACAAAAGTTGCAAATAAAAATTAACGGAGGGAGTATATATATTTTGACAATTATCTTATAAACTTGTCGCATATCATTAGTGTAGTCAAATCTATTTATTTGTCAATTTGGTTTCTGTTTTGGTTTAATTTTGTATGAATCTTGTCGGTAATGGCTTGCTAATTTTAAAAGTCATACCTTCATTAAGGAGTACGTTAAGATACTTGTAGGTTTTTAGGGGAATTATCAGTTTCAATTTTCTAGATACACCTCATTTATATAAATTGAGACCTAGAATTGGTAAATTAACCAAGCTAAAATTTCTAGTTAAAAACGACTTTGGAACTAATTATTGTTCAGGTGAAATACAATTTTAACTAATTGATCTTAAAAAGTAATTGAGAATTTGAATTAACTTGTCATTGCAATCGCCAATACGCCTGCCCAAATATTAGTATGGTTTCACTCCTTTTTTTTTAATTGTATTCTACTTGTAATTAAGCAATCTTTATAGGCTTCTGTATACATTTTTTGTGTTCACTTGTTAGGCCTAATTATGTATCTATGTTTAACTTTTGTGTATATTGATTGTATTTAATTTTAGTTTTTTTGCTTATTGTGCAGATTAATGAAGACAAAGATACTCATAAATCTTCAAGCAATTAGTAGAAGATAGAGAGAAACTTGATTCCATTAGTTTTATTTCTTTGGAGCTGTTGTGCAGTTTTTTTTTTTTTTTTATTGTATATAGTAATAGTGTAATGGAGTACTACTAAGTTTTGATTTATTTGGTTTTTTCTTGTATTTGACTTCACCTTTATCAATTAAAGATTGAATTTAGTTTTATTGATAATGAATATAGCTTGTGGTGAACAGGTGAAGTACTTTGTATCATTTTGTGATTTTTTAATAATCTATTAATGAATAAAGTGTTACATTAGCTTGCAAAAAGTGATACATAATGTCGAATAAAGTGCTACTATATGTCAAAAGATGATTGAAAAATGTTACCTAATAATTAACAAAGTGTTACATTAGATTGAAAAAGTGATACATAATGTCGGATAAAGTGATACTATATGTTTGAAAAATGTTCCTAAAGATAAGTAAGTGTTACATAAGAAATAAAAAGTAACACTTTAAAAATGATACTAATGATATAAAAAAGTGTTACATAAGAGGTTATATAGTAACACTTTGAAAAGTGTTACCATATGTTGTCAGAAGTGTTACATAAGACCTTAGGTAACATGGGCGGATGTATCACCCACTAAAGTGTTACCTATTGTCTATTGTTTAGGGTAAAAATTACCCATGACAAATGGACCAATCCGGACCTGCCACGTGTCCACCACGTGGGCCAATCAGCGTCCGCCACTTGTCACCCTAAGAGGTCCAACATGGACTAATCAGGCCACGCCACGTGGCCACCCATATGCCAAATAGGCAAAATGGCCACCAAGGCCCAAAGTCCGAGAGAAGCCCAATTTGCCCTGGTTAACCTAAACCTAGGATTGGCACGCTTCTCAAGACTATAAATACTTAATTAATCCTCATTAAAGGGGATTCAGCAATTGATGACTCTCACCTAGAGAAGTCTAAACACATTGATCACTCCTCCCCTAGAGGAACCAGATCTCCCACCTTTACTTTCCGCATTTATTACTCCTCAAATAAGTACTAACTTTTTCAATTACCGTGAGGAAGCTCTTACCCCAGGGTGAATCTTAATTACTGAGTAAATTCTGGAAGAAGTCGTTTGTGAGCTTCTAACCAGGCGGACTTCTCCTCATGCTAAGCATCTGTTTGATATAGGCGGCATCAAAGGCTGCAAGCAATACATCCGGCCAGCTCCATATATGCTCACCCAACATTTATAATGCCATATGTATTTCAATTCAAATGAAACTTTTTCCAGCTTGCATCATATGCGGGTCAACTAGTGGGTCTTGGTCTGGCTGAAACAAAACTGAAAACCAGCCGTAAAAAACAAGAGTTAGGTGCATGAATAGCAGCCGGCCATCTCTACGCAACATTAGTTAGCTCTTGATAAAACATCCGGCACTCTCAGCATTTGAGAGCAGGCGACATTATAGAGTTAGTCGGCATTCGTTCAGCCAAACAGCCGGTGCTCGTCGAGGGTAGCCTTGAAAAACCGGCTATATGTATTTAAAGCAAGAATGCCGTGAATAATTACACAATCACAAGTGCTCCTCAAGATTACAGCCGGCCATACCCAAAAAAACCATTGTGCTCGGTTTACTTAAGGTTCAAAAACGGCCCCGGCATGCGAGCATCTATGATCTTTGCTATTGTGATAAGACCAGCCTGCTCTATATGATGTTTTATCATGGTATAACCGCATGGTTTTTGCTCAAAAATATAATGCCAAGTATACTTGATACAAATGAGTTTGGTTCCAGCTTGATCTTCCAAAAGTAAACAGCCAACATACTCGCACATATAAACCTCAAACCTCACGGCCTGCCGAGAGGAGTAGCGCTTGGCTCGTAGTAATATAATCGGCCATGAGAGTGAATGCTTAAACTTGTTCATGTGCTAATTCTCTTATTGTGAAAGCTGGGCATTGGCGTCTCGCCCAAGAAAGCAGGCGGCTAAATGGCAGCCGGCCTAGTCCCAGCCACGAAGTAGCAGGTGGTAGCCACGATCAACTTTAACCATGCGTCCGGCACTTCGATGTTGGGCATGAGTTACATTGCCGAGTGTGTGAGCATGTAGCCTCAAACTTAGGCCTTGATTATAAGCGAGAGCTTGATGACTCCTACCTCAAATGCACACAAGCATTAAAATCAAGACACTCGAATGGTTCATAACAGTCGGCACCTCATAACAAAACTAGTCGGCCCCGCATGTGCCACAAACGCCATACGACCGAATAACAGGAGTCGGATGGTCAAGCTTGTAGGCTATTATTATTATCAAATCATTATTATGATTTTGAATTAAAAAAAAAAATAAAAAAAAGGGCGACTTGTTTCTTTAAATCTGTTGAGTGGGGCTGTGCTACTTGCAACGAAAGCCAACTAATTTCACACTCCAATACACCATAAACGCCATCATTAATTCCCAAGTATTTGCTATGCTTTATGAGCTGGTCCACTCAATTTGGGGATGATGTCAGGCGGCAAAGCTCCACTAGTTTATTAACTATTTTATTAATTAGTGGAACAAGCTTGTCCATTATCTATTCGTCTTTCATTTTCTATATAGAGAAGCTAGCTTACTTGCATTATGAGAAAAGACAAGGGTAAAGTTAGATGGGAAAGCAACTCACTTGTGTATCCTAAGCGGCACCTAGGCATCGTTCCTCAAGCTATCAAGCAAGAGGCAGCCAGCCATGTTAAAGCAGGCGACCTTCACAACAAACGCAACAAGTGTACGTATAGCTTGGTTGGTTAAATTTAAACAACTAGCATCAAGTGTACGTATAGCATCAAGTATAAGGTGTTTGACAACACGGCCGCAAAACAGCCAGCCTAATCCGAGCCATCAAACAGCCGGTGATAAATGAGGATAGCCTTGAGAAAGCTAGATGAATTTGAAGAAATGGCGTTTATGTAACACTCCTAAAGCCGATTGCGGTACGACGCTAACAAACAAGTCCTCGTAACCATGAAAGAAGCCGGCATGCTCCACATGTAACCTCAAGCTAAGTGATTCTTGAATCTCGAAGTATCATGGGCAAACAGCAGAATATCAAACGGCACTCCAAGAACAAGCGACTCTAAATGCCGAGTCGAATGAGTTCGTGTGTATGTACAAAGTAGGCAGCTAGGCGGCTGTATGTATGTAGGGGAAGCACTGTACCACCGGCTGTTAAGCCATCAAGAGAAGCTAACAAACCCCCCTTTCTCTCATACAAGCAGCAGCATCATACCATCAATAACCATTATGGTGATTAATACAAGCGACAAGCGTATGATTGAGTGTATACCGTTCACACTTAGTGTATGAAGACCATCTAGATATGGCGATGGGCGAGTAAACTCACCTTGTGGGAGCAGCCAGATGCCGGCACTCTTTAATGAACAGCGGCTAATATATAATTGGCAAGAACGCTATGAGGACAGCCGACACATCATGGAAAAATAAACCGGCCTTATCACCAATTGTATCACTTGCCTAGCTTACCAACTAAATTGCTGAGAGTCGATGGCGTTCAGCCCAGCCCCAGCCAGGCGCATGTGTTAAGTACACCGACTCACCTAAAACAGTCGGCACTTGGTTGAAAAGGCATGAGCTCAAACTCAAACTCAAGTAAAATGCAAGTAAAATGTTGAACTCAAACTCTCGGTTGCCGGCTGCGCACCTTGGTTATTAATGGTGTCCGAAACCGTTTAACACCAAAAAGTTCCTTGTTTGAGAATGTGCAAGACGATATCTCAATGTCGAACTTCAAGCTAGCTCTAATAAAGCAGCATATGCGAGAACGAGAGAATGTTATGCATGGCTGGATACGCAAGATGGGTATGGACGCCTGAATTTGAGAAGTCGTTTGTAAATTTTCAGAATAGGCGGCCCTCGTTGCCAGTCCACCATTGAGGCGCCCGCACAAGCCAAGCCGGCCTTAGGCTACAGCCGGCATTAGTGGTTGAGCACAGAGATGCACCTAGCTAGTCAAGCCTTTGGCTGTTTAACTACACCTAGTGTCCTCGCTAAACTAATGAAAGCAGGCGTCAAAATACAAGGCTCCCAACTGCCTCAATACAGCCAGCTTTATGACACCTATGCTTGAACAACCGGCTCCTAGGCATCGTTCCTCAAAGCCAGCAGGCGGCAGCCGGCCCCAACCCAGCCACTAAGCACCCGGCCTGCCAGCTCTAAACAGCCGGCTGTTACACGAAAGAAATTATCATCAAGAAAATTATCATGGATACGAGTACAACTAGCATCATTATGCTAAGCCCAACATCATCATGATCATGCATCGTGATTTTGAAGCTGAGAAGATTGGATGTCTTGCCAAATGAAAGCAAGCGGCATGCCGAATGTCTGGTGGTATAATTATCATGGTTTCGTAGCCTTGGTTTAGGCGACCTCAATCATTATTATGATAAAAAAAAAAAGTATAAGATGCCCTAAAAAATGTTGCCTAAGGTTATTAAACCAGGCAGCATAGGCGGCACTCTATTGAAGACCGTCTTTCTTCGTGGATTACCTCCACTTGTTTGCATGACAGTCTATCAGGCAAGAAAAGCGGCATGAATACTAGCCGACCCCCTATACAATGAAGTCTCGTAGCTATGAAAGCAGCCGACTCTCATTAATAACACCATCCATCCTTTATGGAAGGGAAATAGGTGATCCATCTGCTCTAACACTTGAAATGATTTCAATACTTGATACTGATTCAGAGGGGCATGCCACCTGTACCTTTACAGTCGGCTACTCTCCATTGAGTATTTCACTCTTTATCTTCAAAGGGGCATGCCGCCTGTACCTTTATGGGCGGCTACTCTCCATTGGTTATTTTACTCCACCAGAGGGGCATGCCGTCTAGACATACAGTCGGCCACTCTCCATAGAAGAGGGACGGCTGTTTCCAAAACAGACAACCACCCCCTTATACTTAGCTAAAAAAGATTAGGGACAGGCCGACCATGTGCCTAAACAAGCGGCTGCCCTCTTCTTACTTAGCACCTACGTTCGCCAAGAACTAACCAAGGCCACAGGCCCGATGATCAGCCCAGGCGCCAGGCCGACTGATCCTCCCTTAAAATTAAACTAATACGACCTGTCCCAACATAATAGCAGGCGTCCGGCGGCATCCCTCCGGATGAAATTCGTCGCAGAGAGCAACTCCCTTTTGGGTGGAACATTGCTCTATAAACTAAGTACACGACACCTAGATGACTGTCCCCAAGGACAACCACGTAGCCGTTTTTGAGACAAGGATAACTCTATCACTAACCAAACCAGTGGTAGCAGTTGACATCTGAGACGGATGACCCCCTGTATTACTTGGGATAAATGCAGGGGGTACCTCTTGAGTTAATAGCCAACAAACATTGGCGAATCAAAAGGTTCAGCCGGCCTCCGCCGCCTGGTACCTTTACTACTCAAGCAGGAGTGACGGCGACTGAGTAACACCAAAGTCAACTCATAGGCACTCCCTCAAACTTGGTATGGAACCTAAAAGGTTTGAGTAGACCGCCTGTTTTTTGGCAAACAGGGGCACTCAAACCCCTATTCCTACTAGGTAACCACTCCTTGGGTTAATAGCCAACAAACATTGGCGAATCAAGGGGATCAGCCGGCCTCCGCCGCCTGGTACCTCTACTACTCAAGCTAGAGTGTGACGGAGACTGAGTAACTCCCATGTTAACTCATAGTCACTCTCTCAAACTTAGTATGGAGCCTAAAAGGTATGAGTCGCCCGCCTGTTTTTAGCAAACAGGGGCTCTCAACCACTACTCCTGCTAGGTTAACAACCTTTGAGTTAATAGCCAAGAAAAACTTGGCGAATCAAGGGGACTATCCGGCCCCCGCCGCCTGGCTTCCCTACTACTTAAACAAAAGAGGCCAACGGCCGAATAATGCTAAATGCTTACCCTTGTGCAATAGTTGACAGTCCACCTGATCAGGGGCTATCTGCATAGTGGGGCAAAGAATCGGCATCTGTCTAGTTCGGCGGCAATCATTATTATGATTGATTAACCTTGAGAATGTCATACCGCCCAAGGTATCAAAATTTTCTAAGTTAATCAAGTCCATCTCCCATTAGAACTAGACAAGATGCCGACCTAGCAAAGCTTCGAGGGTCTAACTTTCGAAAGGAGCAATCCCTCCTGGAAAGAGAAATTACTCCTTCCGAGGGGAAAATGTTTAGGGTAAAAATTACCCATGACAAATGGACCAATCCGGACTTGCCACGTGTCCACCACGTGGGCCAATCAGCGTCCGCCACTTGTCACCCTAAGAGATCCAACATGGACTAATCAGGCCACGCCACGTGGCCACCCATATGCCAAATAGGCAAAATGGCCACCAAGGCCCAAAGTCCGAGAGAAGCCCAATTTGCCCTGGTTAACCTAAACCTAGGATTGGCACGCTTTTCAAGACTATAAATACTTAATTAATCCTCATTAAAGGGGATTCAACAATTGATGACTCTCACCTGGAGAAGTCTAAACACATTGATCACTCCACCCCTAGAGGAACCAGATCTCCCACCTTTACTTTCCGCATTTATTACTCCTCAAACAAGTACTAACTTGACCGTTGGAGGCGGAGCTCCCACCACAAGGAGTCTCCGTTGTTTTGCAGGTACAGGCGCAAGGATACCAGTCCCGGAATTGTAACTCTCCCGCAGGACATCAGAAAACCCCGAAACGTCTATAATAACACTTTTATTACTTTTTGTAACACTTTTTGGATGTTACTGGAGGTTAGTTTTGTACTAGTGTGTTTACTATCCTATCTAAAAGTCTTATCACTTGAAAGTTGGCGTTCCCTTAAGTAGCCCGTTTAAGTAGTAGGATTAGATTCTATTATCGATCTAAAGCTAACTAATACAACGATGAATTCATTGCCAGATGATATTTGTTCCTTAAAATTTATTGAAAAGCTTCAGATGAGTGGTTGTAGTCTTTTTTAAAAACTACTAAAACAATTGGGAAAAATATCAAATCTTACCATGCTCACAGTTACGTCCTTGCAGGCGCCGATTTAACACAGTTGCCACAATCCATAGGAGAGTTGGCTAGTCTTAGATGGTTAAACTTGAATAATTGCCATAAGCTATGCAGCCTACCCGAGCCTATCATAGCATTATTGTCGTCCATGTGCATACTTATGATGGAGGAAACTGCTGTGACATGTTTGCCTAAAAGCTTTGGGTTGCTTGGTGACTTAAGGGTATTGAAAATGAAAAGTTGCCCATTAACTAGGTTTAGTGAAGCTTTTAAATTTGGAAGAATTTGATGCCCAGACTTGTGGTATTTGTGGTCAAATGCTCAAATCTATAATAACTAACATATACAAAAGTCCCAAGCACCAAATTTACTGTTCACTTAACAATAGTGACGTACCGATTCTGCCCTTAGCCCCCTAAACTGGATCTCCAAAATTAGCAGGGTTAGTTTTGTCTTTTGATTTCTTCTTGCGTGGCATGCCTGAGCCTGCTTTGCTGTTTGCTTTTCCTCAGTTCACTCCCTGCCATTGGTTTACTCTTCTTCTCCATGGCTATTTTGAGTGTTCTCTCTCTATACTTTCCTTCTTTCTCTACCATCCCATTCTCCCTCTCCTTAGTCGTTCCTCTTCCTTTAGTGATACTAAAGCCTACCTCACTATACAATATACACTCATTCTTCTGGCTCCTCCATTTACCCGAAGATAATGCAGCAACAGTAGCAGTAGCAGCACCAATAATAGAGAAATGCGAGTATCCACCGCAAACCACCCGAGAAGGGCGTACTTGTCGACGTACACATCGCCGTAAAAACAGTGAAAATGACGGAAAACAAACTATCGGACGGTAGAGAAGATTGGAGGGAAGGACGGTAAATTTTCTTCATATTTCGAAATTTCTGGTTTTCGGGATTTTAATTGGGGGTTTGGGGTTTGATTTGGGGGTTTGGCCGTTTGAGGTTTGATTTAGGGATTTTAAATTCGAAATCATCTGAGCTTTTTTCCTTCATCACTTTGCTAATTGTTTGTCAATTGTCATGCAACAACAGGTTTCTTTCATCTCCATTGAAGTGGCTTCTGATTTCTATCTATCTTCCATTGAAACAACTTTCTGAGGTATAGATGTTTTCTTTGTGTAATAGTCGAATTTCAATTTCACAGTCTAGGGTTTTTCAAAATATTTTCGATTTTAATTGATTGTATATGAAGATTGATTTTTTTTTTTTTTTCAATATAGTTTTGTTAATGGAGCATAGAACAATTTTTTTCGTTCTTTATTGATTGTAATTATTTTCGGTTTTTTGGGTTGAATTTGCGACTTTTACTGTAAAATTGTGGTTTACTCGTCGGTAATTTTGGGGATTTTCATTGATTAATGTACAATTTTACAAAATTAATTATTCGGTTCTTAGGTTGAATTTATTTGTCAAAATGGCCAGGGCTGCTTGTTTTCACTTCAGAGTTTTCTCCGATCCTCCATTGAAGGAACTTCTGAGCTTTCCCCTCCATTGAAGCAGCTTGCGAGGTTATTTGTTTTTCAATTATCGAATTTTGCATTTCAAAAGCTAGGGTTTGTCGTTAATTAATTGAGTCATTATAAATTAATGTTGGTACTGAATTTCGAATTCGGGTCGGATTTCCAATTCATCGCGTTTTTCAGACTGCTTCTAAGGTTGTTTCTGCTTTATGCTCTGGTGGGTCTGATGCTTCTCCCTCCTTTGACCCTTCTAAAGTTAAGGTATATTTTTTTTGATGATATTTTTGACTTTGTTGTTGTTGTTGTTGTTGTTGTTGTTTGGGTGATTAAATTGGTGAATTGAATTACCCTTATAAAGTTAAGGTAAATTTTTTTGTATGATCCTTTTTGACATTTGTTGTTGTTTGGGTGATTAAATTGGTGAATTGAATTACCCTTTTAAAGTTAAGGTATGATGATCTTTTTGACTTTTGTTATTGTTTGGGTAATTTAATCGAACGTTTTTCCAATTTGAGCTCTAAACGTAAACTAATGACAAAAATGGTTGCGTGGCAAAACTATTTACCAAACTAAGCTTCCAGGGTAAATCGCTGTCTCGGACAGCGTTTTACCCCTGGTTTTTTTTTTTAAAAAAAATTCAACTACAACTATTTTATATGTTCAACATAAAGCGCTGTCTCAGACAGCGCTTTGTGCTTGAACATAAAACGCTGTCTCAGACAGCGCTTTATGCTTGAACATAAAGCGCTGTCTCAGACAGCGCTTTTCTGCTGGAAACAGCAACCAGCATCCAGGCAGAAAACAAGCTTCAGCAAACAGCTTGCATGCTGCAGTCCTCCAACAGCCACCACAACAGCCAGCTCCACAGCCCTACCCCACCACCGTCGACCACCAACTCCGCCACTCCCCACCACGTACCACCACCATATTCTGGGAGTTCCGTCAACTTTAAGCACTGCAGAAAACTCGAAACAGCCCAACAACAGTCCAACCACCAAATTAACTTCAAAGCACACACGGAGTCATTCAAAAAAGATTTATTATATTAATTTCATAAGTGTTATGTACATCATTACACAAAATAACAGGGAATACAACAGATAATACTAGCCCGACTCATTTATTCAGAGTGTCGGCCCTCCGTCTGACACGTCGCCGCCTGTAATGAGTGACGGTGGTGAATGGGTCTCGGGGCGGTGGGGGAGTCAGCTGACTGGACGAGGGGTCCTCCTGGGTACCAGAGGGCGCAGTACTGTGGATGTTGTAATCCTCTGCGTGTCTGGGTGACGTAGGATCACATCCACCGCTGCTCTGGCCGAGATCGAACTGTGAGTTGCCATCATGACCGTCCCGCCGGTGGGCGAGATGAGCGTGACCATATCTCCGTAAGGTAGCGACGCCCATATCTCGCACCTGCTCGACCTGGGCTCTAGTGGGTCCGCACTCAAGGGAGACTGATAGCGCATCAACCATCGCCACCATATCCGCCGCCTGCAGTAATCATCGATCAGTCAGATCTATGGCATACAAATATGGAAATTGTTGAAAAGGAGTAGAAAAATAATAACTCACATATCCGCTAATGATGTCATATGCTGGATGGTAATGTGTGGATGGTGGTGCGTAGCTGGGGTTGATGAAGCGTCGTGTGATACGCCTGTACCACACCATGTACGGATCGTCGGGATCCATAGCCCCCTGCATTAGATCACCTCCAACGATGAACTCCAACCGTTGCTCCCATAGCTGAAGGAAACGCCAATGCTCCAGCGCCCAGCTGGTCTCCCCCTTTCCCCGACGATCAATGCCGTGAAGCTGTACACTAGTGTCACACCCCTGTGGGATAGTCTGGCGTAGTCCAAACTGCCTCATGACTCGGTCGGGCAGGTGACTCTCCACAACCTCGAAACAGATCAGGTGACTCTAGCACGCCACTCCGCCTGATGGTCTAGCAGATGTGGAGGCATGGCATCTACCAAGTCAGGTACATACGGGTCCCATGTCACCTGTAAATACACATCAACAGTAATATTATGAATATGTTAGTTCGCAACAAGTACAATGTTAAAACAAAAAAGCTAAAACTGTATTTTAAATTGTTACCTGGTCCTCGGTGAGTCGGTCTAGGGCATAAAACGCTGTCTCGGACAGCGTTTTACCCATTGAATTTTTTTAAAAAAAAACCCAAGGATAAAACGCTGTCCGAGACAGCGTTTTATGCCCTACTGAATTTAAAAAAATACAGAAGGTAAAACGCTGTCTGGGACAGCGTTTACCAGTTGAATTTTTTTTTAAAAAAAAACCAGGGGTAAAACGCTGTCCGAGACAGCGTTTTATGCCCTGTTTTTTTTTTTAAATGAAACGCTGTCCGGGACAGCGTTTCATGGCCATATATCAGCATGTTCACTTCAGCAGAATGCGCAAGAACTCAACCTCAACCTCAACGCTTTCCCTCCTCCCTCTCACACTAAACCACGACCGTACTCAAACACCCGCATTGCCGCCGCCGCCCACCCTTGCGCCACCGCTGCTGCCGCCACCTTGCTGCTGCCCTCCTCCCTCTCACACTCACTCACTCAATTTCGTGGTTAGCCCTAAACTGAATTTAGTGTAATTGCATAGTTATTGTGGTTAATTATTGTGAATTGTATGTAATTGCTCTTACTTGTTGTTAATTCATGTCAATTGCATGTAATTGTTGCTAATTATTAATGAAAATGTGGTACATTGTTGATAATTATTGATGGTGATGTGGTACATTGTTATTGAAATTGTTCATGACATTGGTGAAGTTGATGATGGTGAAAATGTTGAAGTTGTTAATGGTTGAAATTGGTGAGAAGAGATGAAATTGTTGAAATTATTGAAATAGTTTAGGTTGAAATTGTTGAAATAATTCAAATTGTTCATGAAATTGTTGAAATTGGTGAAGTTGTTGAAAGTGAAGTTGTTATAGGTGAGAAGAGTCTTATTTCAGTGTTGATAATTTACCTCGCTCTAGATTTCGATAATCCTAAAATGTGTTTTGGTTATGTAGAATATGGCGTCACAAAATGTAGTTTTGTTATGCCGGTGGGGAGGAGAAATTCTGTTTGATGGACCCCGGGTCGAGTATAGTGGGGGAAATATGGAACCACTAACACTAGAACCGAACATGACTATGAATGATTTGATGAATGAGGTTCATAGTAGTATTGGTTCAGACCCGATGACCGTTGACGTACACATTAAAATGAGGTTTGAGACCGGCAATGGGGTTCAAGTGTTACCGGTTTCTACGAATAAGCATGTGACAGAAAATTTTGATTTAATAACATTTGGAACATTTTGATTTAATAACATTTGGAACATTTGATCGTTAACATTTTGGTTAATTGCTAATGCGTTAACTCTGTTGGGATTTGTTAAATTGCATGTGAACAGATACGATGGACGGTGAAGATCGTACGCCTGGACCCGTTGACCCTTCTGTGCTTACACTACAGGGCACACACCGCAGCGTTGCCGTATGGGATCAGACGGTAATATTGCATTTGTTTGTTCATGGACTACAACTTGTTGAGTTTATATGGTATATGATCTTAATTTCTTTCTAACAGGTTGATCCGGCAAAGCAGCTCGTTTGCAGGCATTACACCACCAGGTTCATGGTGGGGTGGGGAATCGATCCTCGCGTTTTGGCGTACGTCGAGTTTGTCGGTTTAGGTGGTTTTCACCGTATGGCGTATAGGGAGATCGATCGAGCGCTTGTCACTGCGCTCGCGGAGAGGTGGAGACAGGAGACGCACTCCTTCCACCTACCTGTTGGTGAGACGACCGTTACGTTACGGGACGTGGCGATTCTTACGCGCCTTCCAGTACATGGGTCTGCGGTGACAGGACATGCGTTAGTCGATCCCGTCGGTTTGGTTGGTCGGGTACTTGGTGTCCAGCCAGGTCCCGCCGATATTAGGGGATCCGGGTTGAGGACCGGCTGGGTCCGTGAGACTTTCCGTGAGCTACCACCAGGGGCTGATGACGCCCAGGTTCAGAGATACGCCCGGGCGTACTTGTTCTTCCTCATCTCGGGCGTGTTGTTCGGGAATAAGAGCGGGAGCCATCTCCAGCTCATTTACGTGCAGCTGTTGGACCACGACTGGGATCATATCCGAGGCTACAGCTGGGGTAGCGCCTGTCTGGCGACGTTGTATCGCCAGCTGTGCAGAGCATCCCACGTAGGTGCTAACGAGATTGGAGGTCCCCTGATTGTCCTCCAGGTACCTCACTTATTTCTGTACCAAAAAAACTATTTCACCACGCACTTACATATTTCATACTGAAGCTAGTTTTGTGTCTCTGTGTGCCAGTTCTGGGCTTGGGAGCATATCCATGTAGGCAGACCAGGCAGACCTGCGATACACCGTCGGGGGGAGCAGGACCAGGACGACCAGTACCAGGCGTACGATGCTCCCCCGCTCCCTACACCGGATGAGGCATATGGTTGCAGGTTCGATACAACTTTCATTGAGTTAGGCTTTATTTAATGCGCGGGGTTGTTAACTGAAACATTGTTCGATATTAGGTGGGTGGTACCCAGGCTGACACATGCTCATGCGGCGAGGGGTCTTCCGTATTACCGAGACGCCCTAGACCGACTCACCGAGGACCAGGTAACAATTTAAAATACAGTTTTAGCTTTTTTGTTTTAACATTGTACTTGTTGCGAACTAACATATTCATAATATTACTGTTGATGTGTATTTACAGGTGACATGGGACCCGTATGTACCTGACTTGGTAGATGCCATGCCTCCACATCTGCTAGACCATCAGGCGGAGTGGCGTGCTAGAGTCACCTGATCTGTTTCGAGGTTGTGGAGAGTCACCTGCCCGACCGAGTCATGAGGCAGTTTGGACTACGCCAGACTATCCCACAGGGGTGTGACACTAGTGTACAGCTTCACGGCATTGATCGTCGGGGAAAGGGGGAGACCAGCTGGGCGCTGGAGCATTGGCGTTTCCTTCAGCTATGGGAGCAACGGTTGGAGTTCATCGTTGGAGGTGATCTAATGCAGGGGGCTATGGATCCCGACGATCCGTACATGGTGTGGTACAGGCGTATCACACGACGCTTCATCAACCCCAGCTACGCACCACCATCCACACATTACCATCCAGCATATGACATCATTAGCGGATATGTGAGTTATTATTTTTCTACTCCTTTTCAACAATTTCCATATTTGTATGCCATAGATCTGACTGATCGATGATTACTGCAGGCGGCGGATATGGTGGCGATGGTTGATGCGCTATCAGTCTCCCTTGAGTGCGGACCCACTAGAGCCCAGGTCGAGCAGGTGCGAGATATGGGCGTCGCTACCTTACGGAGATATGGTCACGCTCATCTCGCCCACCGGCGGGACGGTCATGATGGCAACTCACAGTTCGATCTCGGCCAGAGCAGCGGTGGATGTGATCCTACGTCACCCAGACACGCAGAGGATTACAACATCCACAGTACTGCGCCCTCTGGTACCCAGGAGGACCCCTCGTCCAGTCAGCTGACTCCCCCACCGCCCCGAGACCCATTCACCACCGTCACTCATTACAGGCGGCGACGTGTCAGACGGAGGGCCGACACTCAGGAGGCAGGACCTTTACCCCGAATAAATGAGTCGGGCTAGTATTATCTGTTGTATTCCCTGTTATTTTGTGTAATGATGTACATAACACTTATGAAATTAATATAATAAATCTTTTTTGAATGACTCCGTGTGTGCTTTGAAGTTAATTTGGTGGTTGGACTGTTGTTGGGCTGTTTCGAGTTTTCTGCAGTGCTTAAAGTTGACGGAACTCCCAGAATATGGTGGTGGTACGTGGTGGGGAGTGGCGGAGTTGGTGGTCGACGGTGGTGGGGTAGGGCTGTGGAGCTGGCTGTTGTGGTGGCTGTTGGAGGACTGCAGCATGCAAGCTGTTTGCTGAAGCTTGTTTTCTGCCTGGATGCTGGTTGCTGTTTCCAGCAGAAAAGCGCTGTCTGAGACAGCGCTTTATGTTCAAGCATAAAGCGCTGTCTGAGACAGCGTTTTATGTTCAAGCACAAAGCGCTGTCTGAGACAGCGCTTTATGTTGAACATATAAAATAGTTGTAGTTGAATTTTTTTTTAAAAAAAAAACCAGGGGTAAAACGCTGTCCGAGACAGCGATTTACCCTGGAAGCTTAGTTTGGTAAATAGTTTTGCCACGCAACCATTTTTGTCATTAGTTTACGTTTAGAGCTCAAATTGGAAAAACGTTCAATTTAATCGGTGAATTGAATTGTGGGTATTATTAAATTTTGATTTTGGTTTTATCTTTTAATGGGTATAATTAAGTGATGGGTATGATTGACTATCTTGAAAAGGAAAAAAAAAATATCATTTTTTTTATGGGTGTTAGACTGTTAATCAATGTTTAATTTAGCTGAAATATGTAATTGAATAATGATTACAAATGACTTTTGTATTAATTTTATTGGATGATCATCATTATAAATTTAAATGATTTCTGATACTGATGTCAATTCATGAGAAAGTTGATGAGTGATGAATTGTTTGACTATAATGCAATTTAGATTAAAGTGTTGGTTTAATGTGTCTGCTGTCTTTGAGTTGTTACAGAAGATTCGATTTTGGAAATATTGGATGTGAAGATCATTGTGAAATATTCAGACATGAGGGTCAATTTTTCAGATTGGAGAAGTGTATTCAAAGATGCTAATTTGGTGTTATGGGAATTGGGTTTACTGATTCCAAGAGGAAGGATAGTCGTGAGCTCGTGACTGCATGAGAGTGTGATATTGAGGGAAAGTTAGAAGAATTTTTAAAATGGGACAGAGAAAGAGTGGGTGGAGGTGTAGTGATAGACTGTAAGACTTGTAAATGTGGATAATGTACTTGTAAAGTTGTAATCATCTGGCCTATGATTGGATACCAGTAAAGCAAAATGGATTGACATAGTTTCAAAAGGCCATGCCATAGATGTAAATGATATATCCTTGGAAATCAGGAAGTTTTTTCTTTTCTTTTCTTTTTTTGGTCCTGGATATTGTAGGTTGCTGCTATCGGTAGAAGAAAATGGAAAGACTGGGAAGTAGGGTGTTGGATGTATAT